TTATTATTATTATTATTATTATTATTATTATTATTATTATTATTATTATTATTATTATTATTATTCTGGAAGCTGCAGCTTCAAAGTTTCTTGGGAGATACCAGGTTGGGGAAGAGAATGAACCAGAGTTTCTAAATTTTACGTGAACTTCAACTCCCAGAATTCCTCCACCAGTGAGCTTTAATAGAGATGGACTTCAACTGCCAGGATTCCCCAGCCAGCCATGTTGGCTGGGGAATTCTGGGAGTTGAAATCCACCCGAATGGGTGATTCTGGGAGTTGAAGTCCATCCATCCTTAAAGGGCCAAGATTGAGAAAAACTGCCATGAATGAAATGTGCATTTATATACTCTCAAATCACTCCATCCTTAACTGCTTTGATTTTTCAAAGCCACAATGAAATACAGCGTAGTCTGAAGATGGGCTTGAGAACTCTTTCCCCCCCTATGGGACAGGGAACCAACCGCAAAGTATTTCACAATTCTGAGCCTTGAGTCATGGAGGCAGGATTAGAAGCCCCCTCCCTCCTAAACGTGTCCTTGTGTGTGTTTCAGGCTGTGCGTTCACATATGGCGCCTACGCCATGCCGGATCGTTGGGTCAACAGCCTGGGGCATCACTGCTTTGTCCCCATGGCTGCCATAAATTCTTTGATCTGCACCAGCCTTTCTTGCTATTCTCGGTAGGTATTTCAGACTAACAGAGTTGGACGGGAGCTTGGAGGTCTCCTAGTCCAACCCACCCCCCCTGCTCAAGCAGGAGGAGACCCTGTACCATTACAGAAAAAATGGCTTTCCAATCTCTTCTTAGAAACCTCCAGTGATGAAGCAGCCACAACCACTGGAGGCAAGTTGTTCCCCTGGTTAGTTGTTCTCATTGCAAGAAATTTCTTCTTCCTCTCCTCCTCCTTCCCCTCCTCCTGCTTTTCCTGCTCTTCCTGCTCTTCCTCTTCCTCCTTTCCTCCTACTCCTCCCCCTCTTCTTTCTTTTCCTCTTCTTCCTCCTCTTCCTCCTCTTCTCCTCCTCCTCCTTCCCCTCCCTCTCTTCCTCCTCTTCCTCACTCTCTAGGTTCCTAGAGCTGGGGTGGCCCCGCTGGAGTAAGACTGTCCGGACAGCTGCCTTCGTCTACCCGTTCTTCTTCGACAACATCCCACTCTTCTTCAGGGTAGGCGCCAGAGGGGAGAGGGGAGAAGGGACGCTGGGCAGGGCTGTGGGTCCCTTGGTGGGATTCAATTTTTTTTACTGTGGGCGTGGTTTGGTAGACATGGTGTCGCTTGGTGGGCGTGGCTTGGTGTGGCAGGGGAAAGATATTGCAAAATCCCCCTTTCCTCCCCACCCCCCTAACCTGCTTTCCAGTTCTGTTTTCCTGTGCAGGGCAACCAAAGAAGACCCAGCCAATCAGCTGGGACTCAATGGGAGGCAGAGAAGAGATGGGGCAGGGCCAGTCAGAGGTGGGACTGGCCGGTTCTCTGAACTACTCAACGTTGCTGCTCCTGGTTCTCGAGAACTGGTCTGAACCAGCTGAATACCACCTCTGCATCAGAAGGATCAGCCGTAGTTTAGCCCACACTGCCAAACTGGGGGACATCTCTGGAAATATTGAGGATGGGCTTCATTGAGGGAGGGTGTTTTTCTTTGCAAAATGGTTTGCCCCCTCAAAGAGAGAGGAGCTTTTCTGCAGGAAGGCAGGCTGTATGGGGAGGGGGGATGGCCTTGGAAGACTCGGTGTTCTGACCAAAGCTTCCTGAGACAGAAACAATCACAGGCTGTTCCCAAAAACCTGTTTTTATTAATTTAAACGGCTGTGAATTATATGCATTCACAGCCCATCATGAGTCCCAAATTGTTTATGAATAGTCCAACAGAAGTCTGCCACAGTCCTTCGGGATAAGGCTGATAAGCACCCACCTTTATTTCCCTTGAAAGGCTGCCAATTGCCAATTAGCTGTACAAAGCCAAAGTCAATACGAAGCTGCAGAGTTTAAACCGACCAGAATGAACAAAGTTGCTTCCCACAAAGGTTCCTGTCCCTTTGCTCCTCCTTTATGTCTTATGGGAGAGGGCCAATCACCTCCAAGCCTTACTCCCAAGTCGCCCCTTTTGTCTTAACTGTTCTTGCCTTCTGGAAACTCTGAGCAAGCGCGCACTGGGAACAGGCTCCCCCTGTTCCTCTGCCTTGCTGCTGTCAGATTCTGGAGGCTCTGGAGTCAGCACATAACTCTCAGATGGCCCTGGCCCCATCTCTGTTTTGGACACAGGACCACCGTCTGAGTCCCAGACTCCAGAACTGGCCCATGTTCCTCCCCACTGTTTGATTCTGCTGCCAGCTCCGCAGGCCGCTGGTGGACCACAACACTCAGAGGGGAAGAGATGCTGCCTGGGGTATGGCTAGATAAGCAGACCCCCAGCCCTCAGCTGCTCAATGGGTGGAAAGAACGGCTCCTCCCAACATTATCAGGCTATCGGGGAGATTTGCACAGTTGGTCCTCGACGTACCGCCACAATCGAGCCCAAAATTTCTCTTGCTAAGTGAGACACTGGCTAAGTGAGTTTTGCCCCCTTTTACAACCTGTCTTGCCCTCCGTTAAGTAAATCACTGCAGGGGTGTCTAAGTTAGCAACCCGGTTGTTCAGCGAATCTGGCTTCTCCATTGACTCTGCTTGTGAGAAGGTTCCAAAAGGGGAATTGGGTGATTTTGGGATATCGCAACCGTCATAAGTAGGAACCAGTTGCCAAGCGTCCGAATTTGCCAAGCGTCCTGTGACCTGGGGGGTGCTACACAGGTTGTAACTCTGACAAACGGTCCCCATTTTTCAGTGCCATTGTAACTTTGGACTAAATGAACTGCTGTAAGTCGAGGACCGCCTGTAATTTGGTCTTGTCCAGACAGAGTTCCATTCTGCTTTCAAATTACAAGCAAATGTTGATGCAATTCTAGAGAATAAATACTATGGTTAAAGATTTATTTATTTAAATAATATTTAAAGACGAGTAGGTGTTAAATACTACTCCAGAAATACAAAATCGGACGGTCTGTCAGGAGTTTTGGCAATTGGGAGTAAAGTGACTTTCCATCTTGTCGTAAGCATCACTGTGCTGGTCCCATAGTCCACGGTCTGGGCGGCTGGGGAGGATGAGCTCTGCTGTACTCTGATTCCACTTTTGAGGGCCAACTCGTGGTGGTCTCCTTTCCTTTCCAGCTTTTGTTCTGTTTTGGCGATGATTGTACGTGGAACGACTCCGTGGCTAGTTATTTCTACCACCTGTTCTTTGCCCTGCTCACTGGCTTCCTTTTCGCGTCGCATCTGCCGGAACGGCTGGCTCCCGGTCGCTTCGATTTCATCGGTAAGCAAGGATATGTGCGTTTATGAAGCGTTTCTGAAGCCAGAAAGTTGATGGGTTTGTCTGTTTGTTAGTATCCCACCTATATTATTTTACAAATCAGGTAGTCCTTGACTTATGACCACAATGGTGCCCAATATTTCTGTTGCTAAGCGAGACAGTTAAGTGAGTTTTGCCCCATTTTATGACTTTTCTTGCCCTGTTGTTAAGTGAATCTGGCTTCCCCATGGACTCAAATATTTATTTATTAGGAGGCCGGCAGCCCCAGCAAAAAGTTTGTCTCTCACCGCAGGCTAACAAGTCTGTCCATCTGGGAGGTGAATAGTTGTCTGCCACATCTATTCATCTCTTCCCCCTGCCTTTCATCCCCAGAGCTAGGGTGGGGCTTCGCTAGCAGCGGTGGCTCTTCCGTCCCAAGGACCGTCTCATAGATTTCCACTGCTCTCCTCTCCTCTCCTCTCCTCTCCTCTCCTCTCCTCTGCCTTTTGTGCATCCAAGCGTCAGGCACTGGGCCCAGCTGTTCCTCCTCTTCCTCATCAGCCACCTCCAGACCTGGGGGCTGTTGACTCTCTGTCTGAGGGTTGACGGACAGCCCAGGCTCCGCCTCAGCTAGCTCCATTCCTTCTTCCCCCTCGGAGCTCTCAGGTTGCCCTGATGCTGACCCTGACTCCCACTCTGCCTCCTCCTCCTCCTCCTCTGATTTGGCTGCTGGGGGGGGGCAGCAGCTGATGGGCCACAACAGGTCTCTTCCAACTCTACTATTTTTTAAAATAGTGTTCATTCCTCTCCGTGTCCTCTTCTCATTCTTCATCACCGGAAGCTTTGAAGAAGAGACTAGACAGCCGTCCATCAAAAATGGTGTAGGCAGGGTCTCCTGCTTGAGTGGGTGGGGGGTTGGACTAGATGACCTACAAGGTCCCTTCCAGCTCTGTTATTCTGTTATTCTCTCCCACCCCTCTTCTCCCCCATCTCTAGGCCATAGCCACCAGCTGTTCCACATCTGTGCCGTGGTGGGCACTCATTTCCAGTTGGAAGCCATCCTGGGCGACATGAACTCTCGGCGGGCATGGCTGAGCGCCCACAGCCCGCCGGCCACATTCACCCGTACTTTCGTCATTCTGGGTGCCACCTTGGTGGGCAACCTCCTCCTCTTTGCTGCCTTCACTGTGGCCCTCTTCCGCTTACCAGGTTCCATCCGGATCCTGCAGGGCAGCCTTCTCGAGCCGGAGGGACCCAAGGAGAAGTAGCTGCTGGGGGGGACGACCCCCACCACGGTGGCATGTCTGGACTGGCGGGCCCTGCCAACTCACTGGTGATGCCTTCATACCTGAAGATCGCCTGGGCGTGGAGGGAAATGGAGCCCTGGGGGAGAAGGGGCCTAAATGGAGCAGAATGTTGGACTCCATTGTCATCGTAAGTCGAGGACTAACTGTGACTGTATTTCCCTGTGTTGGTGGCGAAGGCCTGACAAGCAGGAGAGAAGGCGGGCTCCAATTTTGCCGGGCAAGGGGGTGTTGAGTTCAGTTCCTGCCCAGTTCAATAATTCCAGGCTAAAGTTAGGGTTGCCCATGCATTGTTGTGGCCCGCCAGTGGCCAGCACAGCTGGCGGAAGACTCAGACAGTGAGGAGGTTGGGGAGGAACATGGACCAGTCCTGGAGTCTGTGGAAGGCTCTGACGAGGGCTCTGCATTGGAGGCAGATATGGGGCCAGGGCCATCCGACAGTTATCAGCTGCCTTCGGAGTCAGAGATCAGCAGGGCAGAAGAACAGCTGGAGCCTGTTCCCAATGTGCTCATGCACAGAGCTGCCAGAAGAAGAGAACAGTCTTCAGCTGTTCTTCTGCCCCACTTATCTCTGACTCCAAAGGCAGCTGATAATGTCAGATGGCCTGGCCCCATATTTGCCTTTGATACAGACCTCTCATCAGAGCCTCCTCCAGACTCCAGGACTGGCCCATGTTCCTCCCCACAACATGCGTAAGGGAAATCATCTCGGAAAGAAGCCAAGGAGATGGTAGCCAAGAGATGCTTGGAAGCTGCCCCAACAGATGGACCAAGTATGTAGCAAATATGGCTGGAGGGTCGAGGCAGGTTGTAGAGAGATCTGGAAGAAAAAGGCATCTCCAGGTCGGTCTTTCCTTCGATCGTTGGATCAAGGGAGCCAACCATTGTCTAGAGCAGGGGTCTCCAACCTTGGCCCCTTGAAGACTTGTGGACTTCAACTCCCAGAATTCCTCAGCCAGCTTTGAGCGTTTCTCAAGCTTGGCCCCTTGAAGACTTGTGGACTTCAACTCCCAGAATTCCTCAGCCAGCTTTGGGAATTGAAGTCCATAAGTCTTCAAGGGGCCAAGGTTGGAGACCCCATAAAGTGGCCAAGGTTGGAGACCCCTGTTCTAGAGAAGATGATGGGAGTGGAGGTTTGAAGGTATCCAGGCAGGCTAGTCTAGAGAAAAGAAGGACTCGGGGGGCAGGAATAGCAGTCTTCCAGTATTTGACGGGCTGCCCCAAAGAAGAGGGAGTCAACTTATATAGCATGACAGGTAGTCCTTGATTTACAACCATTCATTTGATGGTGCAAAAATGAACTGTGGCCTGTCCTCACAATTAAGACTGTCGCAGCAATTCCCCAGGGTCATGGGGAGGGCGGGGTCACCCTCTGGGACCTTCCCAGCCAGCTTCTGACAAGCCAAGTCGATGGAAGGAGCTGGATTTGTTTAACGGCTGTGGTACTGCCGTGATTCACTTAACAACAGTGGCAGAAAAGGTCGTGAAATCCTACGTGGCTCACTTAACAACCACCTCGCTTAGAAATGGAAAATTCTGACTCCACCCCCACCCCCATTGCAGTCGTAAATCAAGGTCTATCTGTATGAGCCCTTTCCCATTGGCCCAAGAAGGCAACGGTAGGTGTGGCTTAGCCAATGTGGCCAATCAGGGTTCGAAAGGAGTGTACGATACTTGGCAGCGAGTTCTATAATGGAGAGGTTTCCTTTTTGAGGTGTTCTTTCTCTCCAGCTCTGTGGCTTGGAGGGCCCAGATCACCCAGTTGACTAACAATATATTAACTTTTAATTAACTGTCTTTTTCTTTAGTGTTGTGGGACAGCCCCGATATATTTTGAAGAGTTGTATCAATTTCTCTCTGTTTGGACAAACAGTGTTTGCTGCTAAAAAAATAAATAAAGTCAGTCAAGTCACAAGAAAGCCCCAAAAATACATGAAGGAAACCAGGCTGAGAAATATATATCTTGTTTATTGTCTTAACAAAATAAAGATGTTATTTGTTTATTTTTTTAAAAAAAAAGAAGGATAATTGTGGTGTTTGAGATGAAACAGACTTGCTTCAAAACTGGAAAGACGGGAAAAAATAAAATTTGAAACCAATTGTTCATTTTTTTTTGTCTCTGCTTGTTTGTTTGGAAGGTCCATAATGAACTCTGAAGTAGAACACGGTTAGGGACCTCAGAGAGCTTCTAGTCCAACCCTCTTTTCAAGGCAGAAGACTTCAAGAAGATTAAGTTATATAATTGTGTAAATACATAAGTAGGTGAGCGTATAATTCTTGGAGTTTTTACTCTGCCGTGGTGGTTCGGTCAACCCACATTATTTGCCAACTGCTCTTTTTCCCCATATCTCAAAAGGGTTCCCATAGTAACTTGCATGCAACCATGGCTTGGAGTCTCTTTTGGAAAGGCTTATGATATCAAAGAGAAATGGAAAGAAAAGGAAGAGCAGAAGAATTCCAAACTCTCGCCTTTTTCATATCATGACCTCCTGGAAACTTGGTTTGGGAAAGTGATGGAGACCAAATGGAGCTGTTCCTCCATTGCTCTGACTTGCTCCCTTGGTTGCTTTTCTGGAAAAGGACTTGCTCTGGTCCACATTAAAGTTCTACAGATCTTTAAAGTTCCTCAGCAGAGATCCAGACAATTCATGGGCAGAGAAATGTGGTAGAAGGTTCCTTGGGGTACTTCTAGTGGTGGAATTCAAATAATTGAACAACCGGTTCTCTGCCCTAATGATTTCTTCCAACAACCAGTTCACCAAAATGCTCAGACAGTTAACAACCGGTTCTCCCGAACTGGTGCGAACTGGCTGAATCCCACCACTTGGGTTCTTCCATGGCAAAGTTTCTCAAGCTTTGGTCACTTGAAGACTTGTGGACTTCAACTCCCAGAATTCCTGGGAGGTCTGGCTGGGGAATTCTGGGACTTGAAGTCCACAAGTCTTCAAATGACCAAAGCTTGAGAAACACTGCCCTATGGGATTGAGAGGTTCTTCAAGGAAGAACTTTCAAGAAAAGAAGCAACCTATAAATAAAGAGATCAGGGACGCGGTGGCTCAGTGGCTAAGACTTTGAGCTTGTCGATCAGAAAGGCCGGCAGTTCGAATCCCTAGCGCCATGTAACGGAGTGAGCTCCCTTTCCTTGTCCCAGCTTCTGCCAACCTAGCAGTTCAAAAGCACGTAAAAAAATGCAAGTAGAAAAATAGGGACCCCTTTGGTGGGAAGGGAACAGAGTTCCATGCACCTTCGGCGTTTAGTCCTGCCGGCCACGTGACCAAGAGACGTCTTTGGACAGCACTGGCTCTTCGGCTTTGCAACGGAGATGAGCACCGCCCCCTAGAGCCGGAAATGACTAGCACGTATGTGCGAGGGGAACCTATAAATAAAGAGAAATTTGATGACAGTGAGAACTTTACAACGATGGAACAGCTTTTTCTCCAGAGGTGGTGGATGCTCCATCACTGGAGGCTTTTAAGAAGAGATTGAATGGACAACCATTTGACCAGGGTTTCCTCTTGAGCAGAGTTGGACTAGAAGACCTAGTCATCTAGTCCAATCCCCCACGCAAGCAGGAGACCCTACACCATTTCTGACATATAACAGATTAACAGAGTTGGAAGGGATCTTGTAGGTCATCTAGTCCACCCACCCAAGCAGGAGACCCTACACCATTCCAGATGGAAGTCCAATCTCTTCATGAAAGCCTCCAGTGATGAATCTCCCACAACTTCTGAAGGCAACTTCTGTTCTTTACAGATTAACAGAGTTGGAAGGGACCTTGTAGGTCATCTAGTCCAACCCCCCTGCCCAAGCAGACCTGACACCATTTCTGACAGATGGGCAGTCCAGTCTCCTCTTGAAAGCCTCCAGTGATGAAGCTCCCACAACTTCTGAAGGCAACTTCTGTTCCACTGGTTGATTGTTCTCCCTGTCAGGAAAATTACTCCTTGTTTCCAGGTTGAATCTCTCCTTGAATCACTGCAGTTGTTAAGTGAATCACAAAGTCATTAAGTGAATCCAGCTCCCCACCCCCAATTGTCTTAGCTTGTCAGAAACTGGTGGGGAAACTCGCAAACATCTTATATTGTGACCTCAGGATGCCCTTTCTTTGGGGTGCCATTGTTACTTTGAATGGTTGCTAAATGAGCCATTATAAGTCGAGGACAGCAAGGCAGAGAGAGGGAGGGAGGAAGGGAGGGAGAGGGAGAGGAAGAGAGAGAGAGATGGGACTAAGGAGAAGAGCTGTGAGCAGAGTTACTTCATTCCTGGGTCTCCTTGGCATTCAATGGTGTGGACCAGAATGCCCCACTCCACCCGGGGGGTTTCCCTGGGGCTTTGTTTCCCTCCCCTCTTGGAGAGAAATTTCAACAGACAATTAATTCTCTTTTATTTGGACCAGGGAACTGGCAGGGAGGAGAAAGCAGGATAGTTTCTCTTCCTGGTACGAAGGGAAACAAAAGCCGGTTTTGAAAAGGCAGCCCCCGTTGCGAAGGCCGATGCACAAAGGCTTTCATTCTCCTGCCCAGGGAAAAGTATTTATGCCGCTTGGGCTGGGCGCCCTTGGATTCTGTCATCAAATGGGTTCTGGGGTGGAAAGCCGCTGCAGGAATGGGTCAGGGGCACGTCGCATTTGATAGAATAGAATAAGAAAGAGTTGGAAGGGACCTTGGAGGTCTTCTTGTCCAACCCCCTGCTTAGGCAGGAAACCTTACCTACACCATGTTCAGACAAATGACATTTCTGGGTTTTTTTTCAGCCTGCCCTGAAGGTCCTTGGAAGGAAGGGAAGGGAAGGGAAGGGAAGAGAAGGAGGGAAGGAAGGAAGGAAGGAAGGAAGGAAGGAAGGAAGGAAGGAAGGA